GAATGTGGAGATACACCCGTAGAGGGAGACGTAGAAAGAGATGGATGGATTGCGTGAAAGGTGACATGATCAAGAAGGGAATGATGACTGAGATGACGTATGATAGAGTTATGTGGAGGAATAAAACCATTTGCGCCGACCCTACGGGAATAGAATAAGGAGGAAGATTATGAAGTGATGATGAAATTCTCAGAATAGACGTTATATTTAAGGCTTAGGAGGAGTAACGTACTTCTTTTGAAATCGACTGCATCGGTAATTTAAAGACCATGATAATAATAACTGGTGGCAGGCTTACCGTTTTGACGCCGGCGGACACTTGGGCGCGGTACGCAGCGGGCACTGGTCAAGCAATGCTGACTGGCGCAGCGCGCTCGCCGCGGGGAACGTCCCTGCCTCCGTTCGACTCTCCGCCCCCGCATCCTCGCCATCGCCGTCAGCATCGCCTCTGTTCAGACACAATAAATTATACAGCGACAAATACAAGACAAAGCCTTTTAACAAATTCCAGATAAATTCCACGAAGAGTTTTAATATTGTCATCAGTCAAAAACTGGTGACAATATAAAAACAAAATCAATATTTTAACAATGAAGTTAAAGAAAGTCGTAATTATTAGAGAGAGAGTTTTATCAATATTTTCGTGATTACATCTTTACATTGTATCTGATTCATTAAAATAGTCTGATGTATGAAAAATGAAATATACTATATTTTCTACACTAATGCTCGATAGTAGAAAGTTCCTCAAATACATTTCGTTAATGGAAAAGTATACATAAATAATGTTGACAGCCAAACTAACCTAGAACCGTTGCAAAAAAACACGACGATATAAAAAAAATGCTTTAAAAATATTAAAAAAAAAAACAACACTTACATAACAGTGAATTTAAAAATCTTATAACACTTTTATTTTAAAACTACCGATATCCAAAATTAATAATATTCAGCCAACAACGGTTTAAAAACAAATAATTTGCGGGTCTAATCGTTGACGTGTAATTTGGCGCGTAACGCAAACAACATAAACGGACAGCCACAGATGAGATGACGCCAGACCCGTCAATGTGCGCGGGGAAAGTACATTAAGTTACTTTCGCTGGGAATTGCTCTTTCTGTTTGTGATAATGCCTACGAAATTCGTATACGTAATCGATTCATATTGCTTGTGATAATGTTACCGATGGATTTCCTCTATCGAAACACCCAAAATAAGACTTATTGCTATTTCAATTTTACAGATTACATTACAGTATTTCTACATCTATCAAAAATCTTTGTCCGCTGCTACCAATATGGCCGTCGTCAAGACGAGTTAATACAACACTTTTATTTCTGATATCTAATTACTGTGCGATTGCTTAAAAAGATTTAGTAAAATACTAACATTTTAGAAATTTTGAAATAAATACATAATAATGTGTTGGTCATAATTACAAAGTTTATATTGGTATTTTAAACAAAGATAAACGTTATTGATTTATAGCACAGACAAAATAACTTTTGAAAATAAAGAATACATTTCGCAGCATCTGTAATTATAAAAAAATAATTGCTGCTGTATTATGTTGTTTTTGTAGCGGTCATTTCCGTAGCAAAGCTAGGATGTCACTGAGAAGTGATCAGTATCTTGATCTGGTTCAAGAAACCGCCATAAGTTGTAAGACTTGTTGTTTATCGCAAAATTATGCGATGACAATGTCTAGAGTACTTACAATCTGATTAAAATTGATTTTCTATAAGGATGCACAACATTTCGATTCCGGTCAATGATCTGTGCATGTATGGAAATAGCCGTTATTTTCCATTATTAAAAAAGGACGTATTGATAAGTTTTAAAAATCAATTATTTTTCAAACTAATTCTTATCGGCAATCGTAATTATTACACACAATAGTAAATTCCTATTAGAAACTTCAATAATTTCATTACATTTATTTCACTAATTAATCTAAGAGGAAGTATTTTTGTATGTATTGAAGTTACTCAATAACTACAGGACCGATTTTAAAAATTCTTTCACCGGTAAAAAGGTAATTTATCTGTGAGTAAAATAGCTCATATTTTGTATTTTCACGCCGAGTTTTAAATTCAGTTTAACCTATAAATAACAAAAACAATACTAACGTTGTATCCCAGTCTCCGGAATAAAATACGTCAGTCTTAATCAATCCAAGTCAAGTCAAGTCAAATCACTGTCTTAGTCACTGTCACTGGTCAGTCAGAACATAGTCATTGATTGTCAGTCTTAAAAAGTCAAAATTCGAATTTCGAATGTCACAGTTTGAATTTGGCGCGCGTTGGCAAGCGTCGCGCCGCCATAGCGACCGCGCGAAACTGTCTAGAGGGGATGCTCGTTCAAAGTTTTATAGTTCCACTTCTACCTTACGTTGTTTCGTAATATCTCATGTTGACAAATGCAACGGAAGACCTTTCCGATTCAATACGAACCTAAGTTTATTTTCGTAAGCAATAGCCAATTAATTATTCACGGTAAATACGCGCTAAATCGCGAGTTTTAAATCAAACATGGAAATACTTGGCTTGTTTTATTTGTTTAAAATAAATTCATGAATTGTAAAGTGGTCATCTCTGGTCTTATCCCGCTCATGTTTGTCTTAAAGTTTTCTAAACTTTAACGTTTTGTTTTTTAATCCAGAATTTTGTTCTTTAGAGTATGAATATTTGTTTATCATGTTTTTGACGTATAATTATTACAAGTGTTATTGTACAATTCATACTGTTTGATTTATTTCGATATAATTCCACTTTCATCATCTGACTGTAATGGGTTAGGCGCATCGTTAGCGGCCAGATTACAAAAGGTCTGTTTCATAAACATCTCACAGCAATTTCAATTTAAATTAATCGTCATTAAAATCATATTATCAATTATAACTATAAAATGAATAATATTTTATCGATTCCATTTTTAAATTCAGATATTATTAATTTCATAATAAAAAAAACTGTACCTTGTGCATTATTAAAAAAAAAGTTACAATGAATTACGTAAACAGAATATAATACGAAGCTGGTTATTTTTTTAAGTAATTTGAATAGCAACCGTTCAATATTAATCAACAACGACAATCATATTTAAATGACAATGATGACTTACGTTACTACATTTGCTCTCAGTTTTTTTTTAATTCGGTAGCCGGTCCGGTAGTCGGTAAAATTCGCCATATTAATAAATGTGGAATGTATTTGAGCAGATTAAAAATGTTATAGAGAACCATATTCAAGTCTCAGCCTTCAGGCAACTATTTAATGTTGTACAAATTCTTATTGACACTCCGTTGTAATACGATTTATTGGAAATGTTAAAAAAACTCCATTGGTTATCAATATACTGCATACAAAAGCATCAATTTCCACGGATTACATACAAAAAGACCTCAATTTGTATGGATTGCATAGTTAAGAAATCTATTAGTGTAGATACTTTGACAAAACAGCATCAAGTTACGGAATTAAGAATTGTTCACAGTTCACAGATCGATGGGCAAGTTATTTGCGAAACTGTTTGGATTCATCCACTTTTAAACCTTTTTAAATTGCATTATGGTGTTCAGTAAATTATGCTATGTTTATTTTATTTATAAGAGAAGGGACAAACGAGCAGCGGGAACACCGAGATGGTCATCGACGCCCATAGACATCCGCAATACCAGTGGAACTTGCGATGCGTTGCGGCCTTTTGAGGAGGTGATAAGCTCGCTTCTTGAAGGACCCTAAAGGATGATATGTAATAAAACTAAGATTACTAAATATCTTTGTATGATCCAATAATAATATTAAAAATCGTCCAAAAAGCAATAGTAAAAACCATTTTAATTAATTCTATATTTACGTTAACTAGAACTTTCGTCCGAGAAACCGTCTGCGTGAAATTAAAAAACCAAAACAAATAGTCTATGTGTTTCTTCAGACTATGGTCTACATCTATGCCAAACATCTTAAACTGTTTAGCAGTTTAGGCGGTAAACATCCATCCAGTTAGCATTTATAAGATTAGTAAGAAGAAAGATTTTGTACCAGTAATCCAGAGAATTGTGTTCATTTGAATCTATTTTCTGTTTAAATATGTGATAATATCACTTTTAATGTAGTAATGGTGTTCCTAGAACCATTTCCATTATCATCATCATCATCTCCCCTGCCTTATCCTACTTCCGTAGGGTCGGCGCACCGGGTTTTCGTCCTCTAAAGCACTCTATCATCCGTTATCTCAGTCATCACTCTCTTCTTGATCATGTAATCTTTCTCGCAATCCATCTATCTTTTTCTAGGTCTACCTCTACCTGTACCCCTCCACATTCATAACTAACGTCCGTATTGTTACATGCGATTCATCCTTTCTCATAACATGCCCATACCACTCTAACCTTTTACTCCTTATTTCCTCAACCACTGGAGCTACCCTCAAACTTCCGTCAAAATACAGAAGTTTCTCTAAAGATCATAAAAAACGCTCAAAAAGTTATATTCACAAAGTAACTTAATTCAATCGCGTGTCTATAGAAAACTAACAGGTTTTTATATCCGCAATATGATAAGATATCCGCGTTTGTAGCGTGGAAAGAGCGGGTAAAAAGCTGATACAAGCGTCGGAAACTAGTGTTGTTACTTTCATAACTTTCAATAGTGATGGGACTGAGTTTCTCTGGGAAACAAATGTTGCCAGTTTTTGTACTGACTTCACTTTTTGCAATAAAAACAGTTCTCATTGTATAAGTTTCTATTGATTGCAAGATTTGCTTAGATTGAGGCAACTGATTGTTTTTTATATTAAACAAATTGATTTTTGTGCATTTTATTTTCAATATTATACGATTAAAAATTTGATTTTCTTTTATACTCATTCAAACTAGGGATGTAGTTGTAGATACGCCCAATCGTAGTATTTGTTTAACAATTGGTATCTAAATATTTACTATTGTTGTTTTAGTTGACGTTATAAATGGAATTTCTGAATGGTATCAAGACAATAGGCCTCATTCAATGGGCAAGGTTCAACAGTTGAGGTTAGCAGATGACAGATTCGTAAAAAAATTATAGAAAACCAGCTTTCCTTGTAACTTTGTACGGGTAGAATAAAAAAAAAACATAGTCTATGTTACTCATTGACAACGTAGCTTTTTAGAGTTGCAAGATTTTTGAAATCGGCCCAGTACTTTCTGAGCTATTTCAATACATATAAAAATATCAAATCATTCCGCTTTATAATATTAGTATAGATGTTACGAATGTCAGAGAGAACAGTAACTATACTGTCCAAATAACAAATATTATTTTCCTATCGAAACATTTAAAATAATCAGCAAATAAGGTAAAGGTCAAATATAATTTCATTTATTAGCTATGTATCTGAGTTGAAAACGTTGATAAATTTAATAAAAGATTAATGATAGTTTAAGGTCAGCTTTAAATATTTAAGTG